GAGTTCACCGCTGTCCCCCCTCTTGGGGCCCCCGGGGGGGGGGGGCCCAAGAGGGCCCCCAGGAGGGCTCCAAGGGGGGCCCTAGAGGGCCCCAAGAAGCCCCAAGAGGACCCCAAGAGGACCCCAAGATATCCCCAAGATGACTCCAAGAGACCTCCGACAACCTCTTGCAGCAACACTTCAACTCGCCTGGGCATCGTTGTTGGGTGGGCTGGTGGGGGTACGCGAAGCGTCAAGAATTGCAACGGGCTCTCAAACGAAACTGATGGTTGTAAAAACCCAGGGCTTGCTTTTTTAAAACTAACTCCTGAAGCGTGGCTACAAAACCTGAAGTGCAGTGCCTAAGAATTCCTCAGGCAGCCCATGGAACCCTGGAATGGTGGAATATTGCAGCCATGTCCTCATCGGACTCCGTATCTTCTGGCGCCGTGGGCCGACGCATCTCTCTAGATCGAGTTCGCTTCTTGTGCCAGAAATATAGCACCAGAGTTGCGAGTGGGGGGGGGAGGATGGCGAAAAGAAAAGCGGAGAAAGAATACGGAGGACTTCACACAGAGGGCGCGAGCTGCGAGGACGGCCGAGGACCAAGGGCGGAAGCAATGGTGAAGGATCGTGTTTAGCCCCAGTCGGGGAGGCAACGTCCGCGGAGCTCGAGGGCACGATCATCTTCGCGCGCACGGAGCTCGAGAGCACGATCATCTTCGCGCGCGCGGAGCTCGAGGGCATGATCATCTTCGAAGGGGGGGCTAACCACGAACAGGGTGCGATCATCTTCGCGTCGCGCGCACGGAGCTCGAGAGCACGATCATCTTCGCTCTCACTCAGCGCCCCTGGGGAAGGACAACCGAGTCGGCCAAGACAGCCGAGCGCAAAGACAAGTTATCTTCGCGCCTGGTGGTGGCCTAGCACTGCCGTAGCCGCCCCCCGTTATCATGCTATGAACGCTCGAAATGATCGGCCCCTAAGAATCATGACACCTCCCCTCGTGGCCGCGCGCATGGCGCCAAGTTCAAAGGCCTGATGGCATTTGATCGTCGACCACTCGCTGCCCGCATGGCTCCAGGTTGCGCTCCAGTCATGCAACTTAAACAAGAACATATTGTGATCATCTTCGCGCGCGCGCGTGGAGCCCAAGAGCACGATCATCTTCGCTCCCTCTAGGCCTTCCGCACCCCTGGGAAGGGCAACAAAGCTGGCCAAAACCGCCGAGCGCGAAACGCGATTATCCTCGCGCCAAGGGGGTGGCCTGTCTAGCACGAACGCCCACAGCCCCACGCACATACAATAGCCATGCTCAAGGGCGGCGACGAGGGAATTACGATGACAAGGTCGACCCGAATGCCCGTCGGGACGACGGTAGACTTGTTATAAGACGACCTGCCAAGCACATGGGTCGCAGACTTCCTGGTCACCACACTGCTGGGGGCTCTTCAGGCTCCCCTGGATGCTGGCGCCGCTCCGTTGACAACATCGCACGAGCGGCGTGCGAACCTGCATCGCGCGCATCCTTCAGGATCTTGCGCGCGCTCTGCCGCTGCTCAAAAGAGGGGCAGAATAAAAGGTGGGCACCTTGGTTTTTGGTATTACACCCGTACAGTGCCCAGGCGGCCAAGAAACCGAGTGGCCTCCCCTGGTGGATGTTCGGCCCCCTCTTCCATTGAAGGGAAGTCGACGACTTCCTACACTTGCAATGATCTGCCTTGTTCGGGCAAGTTGCTCCATACCTGCGGTTGCTATAATGTGAGATTCTGCCACCGTTCGGCAGCATGAACGTGCACTCGATGGCCTCACCCAAGTCCGCCTCATCTGCTGGCGGTGGGGGTGGAGGAGGAGGTGGCGCAGGGGATGGCCCAGACGACGAGGGCGCAGCACTAACCCCTCCGATGCCAGCGCCTGGCGGCTCCTCGCTGGGGCCAGCGACGGAGTCGCCGAAGATGTCCTCGACCTCGTCCCCGAACTCGGGGCCGCCGATGGGGTCGCCGCCCAGCGCGTCCTCGTCGCCGTCCTCGCCGACGCCGTCGGCCGCCTCCTTGAGTAAGTCCTGGCAGGAGCCGCGGGGCAAGACAAACAACGCCCGATTGGAAGGAACACTTGTTTGACCATGGGGGTTTGGGTCCGAGGCTGCCACCAAGATCGTTGAATTAGCCAGACGAAGGACCCAACCATATGCAATTGCCAATGCCGTTGTTGTTAATATCGCCTTCGGTGGGTCTCTCTTTTGGGTCACGAACCGTGTGGAGGTCACAGTTGGGGGTGACCGTTGGGGGTCACAGTTGAGGGTTACCGTTGGGGGTCATCCTTGGGGGTCACCCTTGGGGGTCACCGTTGGGGGTCACCGTTGGGGGTCACCCTTGGGGGCCACCCTTGGGGGTCACCGTTGGGGGTCACCCTTCGGGGTCACTGTTGGGGGTCACCGTTGGGGGTCACCGTTGGGGGGCACCGTTGGGGTTCACCGAGTTTGGGTTCACCGTTGGGGGTCAACGTTGGGGGGTCACCGTTGGGGGCCACCCTTGGGGGTCACCCTTGGTCCCGCGGGCGACAGGCCTTGTTCTAAGCAGCGGGGGAACCCTCTGTGGGCCGTCTTGGAGCCTGCCCCAAGAGGCCCGTCTGGGAGACACGGGGCCCAAGACGGCCCCACGAGGCCTCTCGGACCCACCCAAAGAGCCCAAAGAGGGCCCCAAGAGCTCCCAAGAGAGCCCCAAGATGGCCCCAATAATGCTGTACTGGGTGGTGCGTGACGCATGCGGCCGCGCCACTGGGGCCTTCGGTGGAGCTCCCTATGGGGCCACGAAACGCTGTACTAAGTGGTGCGTGACGCACGCGGCCGCGCCACTGGTGCCTTTGGTGGAGCTCCCTATGGGGCCACGAAACGCTGTACTGGGTGGTGCGTGACGCATGCGGCCGCGCCACTGGGGCCTTTGGTGGAGCTCCCTATGGAGCTCCCTATGGGGCCACGAAGCGGCGATGATGATGACGATGATGATGACGATGACGATGATGGGGATGGTGACGACCATGATGATGCTGATGATGGCGATCATGACGACCACGATGACGATGGTGATGATGATGGGATGAGGGAGGAGGAGGGGGGAGGAGGAGGAGGAGAGGAGGAGAGGAGGAGTGACGCGGGGCACCGTCTCTTCAAAAGGAGTACCCAACACCATAGGATTGTTGGGAAAAAGAACACACACACGCACACACACACTGCTTCCACGCATGGTCGGCTGAGTCTTGAGGAAGTCTCGAGCAGGACCCTCGTGCATCACCATATTGTGATGATGTCTCGAGCGGGAGCTCCGCCCGTGAATCAGCCCCCCATCTTCATTGCACTGCGTCGTTCTCACGTGGAGCGGAGCGGGCCCAAGAGAACCCACTCCTGGACCAGACGAGAGGCGCACAAAGTGAAATGGCCGAAGCTCGGCCTTCTCGATGCCACCACTTGAAGGCCCTCCGTCGCCCCACCCCCTCGGCCGAGGGGGGAGGTAAAGGGGATTGCGAGGGCGAGGAGACGCAGGGCGAGAAGAGGGAGGAGGAGGACGAGATGAGGTTGAGGGAGCCTTTGTTTGTGACCCCTGGGTCCAATGCGGACGCCACGGGCCCGTCCTCGTGCGGCTCCTCGTGCTGCGCCTCGTCCTCGTCTCCGGACTCCCCAGCCGCGGCCTCGTCCTCCTCGGGCTCCGACTCCGCGGGCAGCTCGGCCGCCTCGGCAGCGGCGACGACGTCGCCCTCGCCGACGGCGTCGACCTCGACCTCGGCCACCTCGCCCTCGTCGTGGCCATCGGCGAGCGGAGGGGGATCGGCAGCACCTCTGCCTCTACCTCGGCCACCTCGCCCTCGCCCTGCTCCTCTCCCACGGCCAGCGCCTCGCCCACCATGGGCTCCTGCGGCTCGCCTCCGGTTCGGCAATGGCCAAGCTGCGTGCGTCTCTCCGTTCTGAAAGTCAGACGTCAAGACGAGGCACGGGCGACAGCACACGATGTCCCGCGAATGAACCAGCAGCTTGCGGAACCCGACCACCCAGTCGAGATCCATGTCCATGGAGAGCAGGGCGCCGTACACGTTCACCCAGTCGCCCATGGCCTATCACAGAGGCTGCGATTCTAAACAGAAGCATTGCGAATGCGCAATGGCTCTTGATGCACGCAAGTGCACATCAAAACCCCCAGGCGTTTGTAATGTTCCTGTTGCTGGCGGCATACGTTAACCCCGCCAGATTGCAAACGCAACCTTAAAAACCGTATCATGTTGTTACTCGCGGACCCCTGGGACGTTTATAGTAATACCTAACGCTTCTAGTTGAGGGTTCCGTGTGCCTTCAAGGGCATCTCGCCGCCGACGGCGCCAGACTCGAAGGCTTCGTCCTCGTCGCACTCGCGGCACTCCTGCAACTCTGGCAAGTACGGGCTGAACGACATGCTGGAAATGTGGAATAATTAACGCCACTCATGAGCTATCTTAACAAAAAAACAAAATAAAAAACAAGTAAAAATCAAAAAAAAAATAAAAAAACAGTAAAAAACAAAAAAAAAACAAAAAAAAAAAAAAAAAATAAAAAAAAAAAAAAAAAAAAAAAAAAAAAAAAAAAAAAACAAAAAAAAGAAAAAAAAAAAAAAAAAAAAAAAAAAAAAAAAAAAAAAAAAAAAAAAAAAAAAAGTAAAAAAAAAAAAGAAAAAGAGGTCCTGGAGGCCCCATAACTCCGCGACGGCCTCAGCGTCGGCAACTCCACGAGGTCGTGGCTTGAACACCAGAAATACGCGATCGTCCAGAAGAAGTTGGCGGTCATCGGGGCGGTTACGATGGAAAACAAACTTCATGATCTTCAGCACTTGATTCCGAAAGCGATGTAAGTCCCGACCAGTCTTGCAGCATATGCACACACCAGCCTTGTAGCAGGCCGAAAGCTGGAGCACATCATCATCCTTGCGTTTGGCCTGCTTCTCGTCGTCAGGTGAGGCCAAGACCAAGCGATGCATTTGGTCCCAAGTCTGACCAGCCGCTTGCATGACGTTCTGCTTGTGGAGTGCCAAACTCTCCGCCCACTTCCACACATCTGCGGCCCGCATAGCCGTGGCGGAACCTTGCAGGACCACCGCGTTCAATTCTGGAGCCAAAGGTGTGGCGCAGAGGTGCGGCTTCACCACGTTCATGGCAGGGTACTCGTGCACGATGTCGGAGACCAGCGTCTCGTTGTCCTTGACGTAGGATGCCACTGCCATCGCATCGGCAGCAAAAAAGCAAAAAAAAAACAAATAAAAAAAAAAAAAAGAAAAAAACAAAAAATAAAAAAACAAAAAAACAAATCAAAAAACAAAAAAAAAAAAAAAAAAAAAAAACAAAAAAAAAAAAAAAAAAAAAAATACAAAAAAAAAACAAAAAAAAAAAAAAAAAAAGAAACAAACAAATCAAAAACACAAAATAAAAAAAGCCGCCCTCCCTGGCAATCATGGCTGCGGCAGACTTGTCGAGATCCTGGCGAGAGCACATTCTTTCAGGCAGAATCTCCCCAATTCGACGCCTCATCTCCGCCATGAGCCAGCGGGTGCGGCACGGCTTTGCAGCGCCAAGCTTCTGGCCAAGATAGTTTGCAAAAGTTCAATCATCCCTCGCCGCCGAGCGCGCTCATGCTGATTCACTTGTCTCTGAGTAGGGCCGAAATTGGTGCCAACCTGCATGCCTTGATTCTCCGTTGCCTCCCGCCCCTCGGCCAAACATCTGAGGTACAGCTCCGAGTCGCGAGGAAGCGCATTATACGCCACGGCAGCTTCTCGGAGATCGTTGGTATGGGCGATTCGAAGGTAAGCTCGCCATGGACCCCCGCCTTTCTTCTTTACCGCATCATCTACGTCGTCGTGCTGGCCGTCGCCGTCGCATCGCCCATGACCTGCATCACGCGGCTCGCCAGCAGCTCGACCTCGCACGTCTTCGCCGAAATCACCATTGCTCCTGATGTGGTAGCCGCTCCACTGGGCGCTGAGCTGCGGCATGTCAATGGGGTGCGTCTGGACGCGGCTCTTCACGAACCTATGTACATGAGCATGTCCGCCTTCGACGGGGCTGATGTTCGTCTCGGCCATTTCGGCATGAAGCTCCAATCGGTGTCTGAACTCATCCGAGCCAGGAGTCCCGCTCTCGAGCATCTGCTTGGACCAGGGATCGAGCATGCACTTCGGTTCGGAAACGACGATGTCTACCACGTCTGGCTGGTCAATCAACATGAACAACTTCCAAGGGTATCCACAATGAGGTCTCCATAAAAAAGAAGGCAAAAAAAAACAAAAAAACTAAACACAAACAAAAGAAAAAGGACAACAAAACAAAAAAAAAAACAAAACAAAAAAAACAACAAAGACACAAAACAAGAAAAAACAACAAACAAAAAAAAAAAAGAAAAAAAAAAAAAAAAAAAACAATAAAAAATAAAAAAACAAAATCACAAAAAAGAAAAAAAGTGCCTTTTCAATCCCAGCTCCTGCCTTCGATATCTCTCGGAAGGCGAGCGCTCTCGTTCGATTAGTCAACTCCGGCTCGTGTATCAACATCCATAAAGCTGGCGTAAAGAGAAGGGCCCTGAGCTGCATCTGTGTTCTTCCTTCCAAGACGCCTCGGGCTGCAACGAGAATGCGATAGTCCCTCTTCGCAGCCCCAGGCGGGGCCTCGCCTGAACTTGCTCGTGCAACGATGGCATGTTGTTTCCTCTGCCATGCTCGGGATGACATGTGGAGCTGCTTCCTCAAATTGAGCGGCAACGGGGCGATAACAGTGCGCACGACGATGATCCTGGTGAGCGGTGATGGCCGAGATAGAGACAAGAAGGTCAATCCCTCACGAATGTGTTTGGCATTTTTCTCTTGGGCAGCGTTCTCCTTGCCATCGGCATTGGCGTTCGCATCGTCGTCAGCGTCGTCGATGTCGCTGGGGGGGTCAACGGCCCTGGCCTCAGCCTCGTCGCCGTCGCCACCAACGTCCTCGATCATAGGAACCACGTGGCCAGGCTGGCCTGAATGGTGAGGGTGCGGCACTTTGCAACCACGACGCTTTGCCCAAAGACGATACGTTGGGGTGAGCAGGCCGTGGCACACCTCGATCAAGCCAATGTCGCACAAAGCCTCCCCCTTGCCAATCCACTTGATTCTCTTCCACACGCGGGGGCGACGATGAACCAATGCCGACAACATGCCATCGACGACCCTCTGGATCACGCGCTCCTCGTCGATGGGCCCATCGCCAGCAATCCACACCTCGACGTTTTCAGTATTGGTCCAGTCGCCGTTGGGCAAGATGTGGAGGAGAGCTCGACGAATCGACTCATTGCCTCCTCCAGACACAAAAGTCCGAATCGCAGCACGACGGTATACCATGGTCTCAAGAGGGGGCCGTCCACGGAATATCTTGATCTTTGCACGCACCACGTGCCGAAGGCAAGCTCGGAAATCGCTCATCACCCCAGCTGTTGAAAATCCCAAAGCAATGTGTATGGCACCCTTCACAACATCTTCCGACAACGCCATAGCCTTGTTCTGTATATTGTGTACCACGTGCACCTCACATATCAATACGAGGGATGACCATGGACGCCCACGCATTCTCAAATACATTCGTTCAGCAGACATGTTGGAAGGGTGACCGTCAACGGCTGCGATCCTTGTCGCGTGTTCGAAAGTGGCGTCCATCAACGTGGCAGACTCTGCGTCCAACAATGCTCGAAAGATGTTCGCGGCCTCTGCGGATTTCAATGCCTGCAGCCCTTGCACACAAGAGCCTCGTATGACAAAATATCGTGTCTGTGCGTCGTCCATCTGGCCTGTCGCGAAAAGGTATGCCCAGCTGGTTCGGGTCTGCAGCAACTTTGTCTGTGATTTCTCTGACGGAGTCCCGAATGCTGTGGACAAAGGAAGCGAAACAATCAGCTCACGATCATACACTGAAGTCCTGCTTTTCTGGGCCTCTGGGGCCCTGATATCCATTGGCGTTTCGTCGTACATTGTGGCCTCTATGCACTCGACAAGTCGCAGCCCTCTGGCCCTTGATTTAGCCGCCGCTGTGACAACGGCACGTCGAGCATAGCGATCTACACACCAAGCGAGGGCTGACAACCTCTGCACACCACGTTTGTATGACTTCGGATCGACACCGCACTCGGAAGCTTGCACTTCCTCCGTTTTGGTCGACAAAGGCTGGCAATCCAACACAAAATTCTTTACGACTGTCGGCGTGTCGCGTGCCTGTACAGAGGAGCTGGCTGCAAGAGGAAGTATGGCGCCCACGTGGTCAACAAGAGGATGCGACACGCCAGGCATTTTTGGATCCATCATGAGACGCAAGTTTATCTTGGGAATCACGAAGCCCATGGGAACGATCGCAGCCTGCTCAGCCCTTTTTGCCCTCCTGTTCTCCAAAGCCGTGGCGCGGCCAACCGCGAGAGCATCAAGCCTCCGCCGCTTCCCATCAGGGATATCATCTGGCCCGCCGTCGGGCATGACACATGTGAAGGGTGAGTGCTGATACAAAGAAACTCTGGCTCCGAATGGCCTGAGTGCCAAAATGGCTATGGATTGGACGCCCCCGTTGTCCCCTCGGATTTCAACCCCTTGTCATATGAACAGGGAAGGAGCAACAGGAAGAAACCAATTATCTATATGCTCGTGAGGGCATGGAGGGCAATGAAGAGCAAGGAGGAAGGGTTCAACGGGCATGTTGCGTTCATACGAACGTGCGATATGCATGTGGCAACGCATGACTAGGAAACCAAATGGACCCACAAACGCGTTACACATCAGGTCATACATCCTATTCGGAATGGGCGCACTGTTCTACACATGGACTTACCAACTCTGGGGCACGGCACGGCAACACACTGTGCAATACGCAACCTGGCACGACATGGCACGGCACGGCACGGCTCAACCCGACAATGTACGACACGGCACGCGATTGGGCACGGCACGGCACGGCACGACACGGCACCAACGCTTCGTCACGGCACCGCGCGGCACGGCCAAATGCTTGTTTCGGTTACAACGGCAACGATGATGAACGTTGCATAGACGAAAACGGCAACACAAATGCCCAGGGCGGCGTCCGCTACTCCCACGGCCTGTGCGAAAACCAATGGAAGTGCGTTACACAAATTTAAAAAAAAAGATGCCGCATCGTTTGCGAACCAGCCGAGCGATTTTTGATACCTTTTTCCAACGTCACACAAAACCACCACAAACACTTTTTGGACACTTTTTGGACACTTTAGGGCGATGATACAAGGGAACACAGTCTAGCGGTAGGGCCTGTTATGGTCTTAGAACATTGTTTGGTGGGGCTATAGGCGAGCCAGGACGCTTCGCCTCTGTCTGACAGGGGGGGCCCAGAGGCGCTGGAGATGTATGGATGTAAGTCGGGCCTGTCCCTCTGCAGGAGGAATAGCAGAAGTAGTCCAGAGGCTGCGCCTCGCCGAGAGCGCTCCCTCGCGCCCCCGCCGTCGCCCCCAGCGGCCCGCCGGCAGAAGAATGTGTGGACGGACGCCCTCCGACGAACTCTGCCCATCCCTGGCGCGCAAGGGCGCGCCAGAGGTGGCGCCGGAGGAGCCGCCGGGGGGCCCCCAGAGGCGCTGGAGAGGCGCCGCTGCTCTGTATGCCTCGAGCAACGAAGGGCGGCGATGTACAAATGTGAGTCGGGCCTGTCCCTCTACGGGAAGAAGATTCAAAAGTAGTCCAAGAAAGGGTTGGGGACGATTTGTCGAACAATGTTTGACTGTTCGGGGAAAGGTCGCATAGAAGGAAGCGATCTCTGCCACCCAGACGTCAACGAGCCATTGGCCACCTCTGCAGGGCGTTCCTCTTCAGCGATGCTTTTCCCGACCTAGGTTCTGCATAGAAGGGTTCTTACTCGTAAACTTAGGAAGGGCCGGGCAGTGGAACGCGCCCCGGGCGGTTCCCCCGGCATCCGCCCCGCGGTTCCCCCAGTGACGCTCCCTTAGCGTAGCGTTGCTTATCTCATCTTAGCTTAGCCTAGCTTGACTTAGTTTAGCTTAGCTTCATCTTAGCTTCGCGTAGCTGTAGCTGTAGTTTAGCTTAGCATATCATAGCATAGCCCAGCACAGCATAGCACAGCGCAGCACAACATAGCATAGCATAGCATAGCATAGCATGGCGCAGCATAGCACAGCATACCACAGCAATGCGCAACATATCATAGCATAACATACCATAGCCTAGCATAACATAACGCAGCCTATCGTAGCATAGCATAGCGCAGCATCGCGCAGCATAGCATAGCATAGTGCAGCATTGCATAGCGTAGCATAGCATAGCAACAAAGCAAAGGCAAATCAACAGCAGCAACAGCAAAGCAAAGCACAAGCAACGCAAAGCAAAGCAAAGCAAAGCAAAAGCGAAAGCAAAGCAAAGCAAAGGAAAGGCAAAGCAAAAGCAATGTGCGACAGATGCCGAGCTAGCCTCGATGGCCGGACCGGAGCCCCCGCAAGCAGTGCCTTCCGTAGCCATTTCGGCTCAAGCCTGGAGGCCCTGCCACACAGCCGCTCAGGCTCGCAGCTCGCAGCCTCCAAAACCGCCCCAGGACGAACCGAAAAATCTAGCTTTTCGCCCCAAAACGCTCCCAGGAGGCCCCAAGAGCTCCCCAAGAAGCCCCAAGAGGCTCCCAAGAGTCGTCCCAAGAGGCCACCAGGAGACCAAAATCATTGGTTCCCTATAGGAAACATACATTTTCGCCATACACGGTTTTTCGGTTTTCACAGCGTTGACGACGATCCAAGACGCCCCCAAGACCGCTCCCAAGAGGCCCCAAAAACGTCCCCAAAACGTCCCAAGACGGCCCAAGAGGCGCCCAAGATGGCCAAGTCGTGCGATAGTAGACCGGATACGGAGCATTCTCAAGCACACCCGGTGAGCGAATGCGAAAACATGCGTGTGTGTGTGTATGTGTGTGTGTGCGTGTCTGTGCGCAGGCAACGCAAAAACAACATCGAGCAAAAGCAACAACAAAATCAAAGCAAAAGCAACAGCAACAGCAAAAGCAAAGGCAAGGCAATTCAAAGCAAAAACAAACCAATGCGAAAGTGTAGATGTAGATGTAGATGTAGATGTAGGTGTAGGTGTAGATGTAGATGTAGATGTAGATGTAGATGTAGATGTAGATGTAGATGTAGATGTAGATGTAGATGTAGATGTAGATGTAGATGTAGATGTAG